TAGCGTTGAGGGTCTTCGAAATTTGAATCTATATAGTAATTCGTACGTCGACAATTTGATAGTTTCTAAGTAGGTATTATTAAGGTTCTATTAAAGGGTAAGAATAATATTAGTCTATAGAGTTTTTAGGTTCTTAAAGTAATAGAATTAAATAGTAAATTTTATACTCTAACTCTTACGTTTTGAAAAACCGTTTCCTTAAGAATAATATACAGTAGTTATGAATAATTTAGTGCCCTAGGCTTTCTATATACCTTACTAGAATTTAAATGTGAACTTTCTATTTCTCTTAAATATAATACCCATTGGAATTCCCCAATCTACTATAATTACTTATCTTATCAAGGTTTATCTTTAATTATTAGCGGTATACATTGTATACCCGGGTATTAAAAATAATCATTTTAAATTGGAGTAAGTAACGGTTATGATTATATCGAAAGATTCGTAGCCGGATATTTACTATAATATTCCCGCTAATGAGACTTTAGGGAGCCCAATAATAAAATCGATAGTAATTAATTGAATAAGCAAATTATTAATCTAAGATAGTTAATAATTTCCAATAGTTTATACTCTACTTATTTAATTTAATTAGTAGGTAGGGCAATACTTTATATATGTTTCTCTTAAATATATTTTATTCTTAGTAATTAATCCTTATAGGTTATACAATATCCTATCCCTACTAAAGTAATACTTTTTATTGTAAACGGCGGCGAGGACTTCCTAAATATAGGGTTTTAGGATATAGAAGTTCTTAGCTTTATTACTAATATTATAAATAAGCCGTCTTTATCGACTAGGAATAAATACCCTTGACGAAAGAGAAGTCTATTATCTTTATTAGGTTTAATTAATAAGTCTTACTTAGGTTCAATAAATTTAGGGTCGTTAATATAACCCTCAATTATCCTTTTTTTTATACTTAAGTATATTTGAGGTTCGGACGTTGAGAATTAAATAGTGTCCATCTCCTTCCGTATTATTATTATTATTTATATTTTATAACTAATTTAAGGTATTTAGTACAAAGTTGAAGCGGCTAGGGATATAATATACCTTCACCTTATATTATGAAAGGTAGACTAATATATTTATTAATTATTTGTTCGCTTTATCGGTAGTGTGATGGGGACAGCACGGTTAATACAGGTACTGGTCGTATAGTTTAATTAAGGTTCTATAAAGGAGGAAAAGTCTATTTGAAATACGGATCTACTAACGCTAAGAGGTTTTCATTAGGGCTGCACGCTCTACGCTACTAAATAAATAACAATTTTAGTCTTAAAGATTAAAGTTTATAACCCGGGCGCTAGCCCTACAATATTACCCCCCTCCTCCCCCCCCTTCTCTACCCCTCTCCTACCTACCTTTATAATCGGTCCCTAACGCGTTCGTAACTTCTATTTTAATTATAAACTTATTTCCTATACTACTAACTAATATACTTGTACCTTCTATCTAATATAGTAATTATAATATTAAATAGCAATTAACGGTAGGCAATAATAGGTAGTAGGTAGTAGTCTTAGCGTTCGCACTCTCTAAATTTATATATATAATCCCCCTCCCCCTCGCTTCTCAAATTTCTCCCTCTTCTCTTTTTTCTCTAATAGTAGTTCAATCCCTTAAAGTAAGTAATATTATTCCTTTTTCTACTTAATATTAACCTATTTCCTCCGATTCCCTTAATACTTTTAAATACCCTACTATACACTATCCTCTTCTATTAGCTCGGCCTTACCTCCGGGTTCCGGCCCCTAAACCCTTTATACTATTAAAAGTAGTCCGCTAGCCTCTACTTCCGTCTACCCTAGTACTTCGCCCCCCGGCCCTCCCCCCCAAAGCTCCTTTCCATCGGCGCCGGCCCCCCTAATTCCCCCCCGCAAACTCCGGTACACTCTTCCCTTCCAATTACTACCCCTAGCCTCCGCTACCTAACGGCTATTACTACTATAATTACCTTTAAATTTATATTTAATAAAAAGTATTAATTGAGGTAATCTTCTTTTTTTTTATATTCTATTCCCCCAAAGTCCCCCCTCTAATATTATTTTATTACTAACCCTTTTACTATAATCGGAGTATAAATAATCTACTATACCCTATATTATTTATTTAAATATAGAGCGGGCTTATTTTATAATATTTAAAGTATACTGTATATATTAATTATTATAATAATAGTAAGTAATATAACTAAGCAATGCCTATAACCTTACGTACAATTATTATTTAGAAGGCAGCGACTAGTACCGCGGTTAAAGTAATAGTAAAAGAGAACTTTAATAAATATATAAATTTCTAAAGGAATACTACCGAATTATATAAGAAGGGATTTATCAACCGGTATATCACTCCTACCCTTTTCTTCTTATTTTTCTGCCCGCTTTAGAATTTTAATATTAATTTCGCCTTTTCTTTTTATTAACCGCTAATATTTATACTATACCGAAGCGGCGTCTCCCCTCCCCCCCTCCCCTCCGTTAGTAGCGCCCACTCCCTATAAATTAAGAATAATTTAGGATTAGGTAGCGGTTTTAGAAGTAAGGATAGATACAATAAAAGTAAGAAATAACTGTAAAACAAAAATGTAAAAGAAATAGAAAAATTTAGAATTGATATTATTCCCTTCCTTTCTTTTTATAACCGATACTATTATCTTTTATATTTAATAATAAAATATTCGGCCGGACCGTCGTTAATAGTAATTAGACTATATTTAGCTTTAAAATAGTTTAATACTATAATATTAACTACTCCTTATAAGGGTTCCTATGTTTACTCTACTTATCCTACCCACTTTACTAATACTTTTCTACGCCCTTTCTTCGTTTAATAATATAGGATTTCCTTTATAAAATATTCTTTTTTACTATTAATTATAATTGGTAAAAGTTAGGGGTTAATAACGATTTACCCTAGTAAAGGATTATTTCGAGCGGATTATAAGAAATCTATATAAAATTTATTAAAGACCCCGGTAGTAAAACTAGTAAATTCTATAATATATAGGCTAAGAAATTTTAAAACTATATATTTGGCGTAAACCTAATTTAGCTTCTTTCTAGGGTACTCGGTTTTAAAATTCTTAAGGTTTAACTATACTTTATCCCTCTTTTTAAAGACCTCGGCCAATTGTTTCTTATAGTTTATAAAGCGCTTCTAATTCTATATTAAGACGGCTATTAATATATAGTAAAGATCTGTAATTTATTATAGCCGTATAACGAAACCTTTAACTCTCTTCTATAAATTAGTAAATTCGGCTTCTACCAACTAAACTATAATAATTATAGGGTACTATAGGTAATAATTGTAAATAGTAAAAAATAGAAATAGTTTAATTATAGTACTAATTCTATTATAAGTTATTAATTATATAGCGGGGCACTAATAGTTCTACTTATTCTATACGTAATTTATAAAAGTTTTTAAGAATATTTATACTTCTTAATTTATATACTTTAGCCCACTATCGGTCTAGGGATAGAAGACTATACTTAATTACTATTCTACTTTAAGGAAATTATAAAAATATTTCTAGAAGCTATTAATCTAATTAGTACCTTTATTATTAATAATAAACCGGAACTAACTATAATAGTATATAAAATATTATAGGAAAGTTTTAATAACTATTCTTACTTCTATAGTAAATATAAGCTCTAAAATTACTACTTTACTATATTAGTTTTTTATAATTAAAAAGTTTATGTAGCCTCCTAAGGGTAGGAGGTTAATAATAAAATCTATTTAAATATTTCTAAAAAACTAATCCAGGATCGGTAGTAGCCTAAACAATCCTCTCTTCTATTCTCTCTAATATTTAACCCTCCTATAAATATCGCAATTCCTTATAAATTAACAAATATAAATATTTATTAATAATTAATAGAAGTTTCTATTAATAGCGTATATTATTCCTTTTCTCCTAGGGTAGCCGAGGGTAATTGAATTATATATCCCTTAAGTAATGCGCGTACGTAGAATATTCTTCTTTAGATTTTTTAGAAATATATAAAGGGCGGTTACTTTTATAATAGTTAGGGCTCTAGGGATTTAAATACGGCCTCGATAATATAACCTCCTTAAGTTATCGATTAAATATTCTCCTAATTATACTCTTAAACCTTAAATTATAGTAAGAAGGCTTTAATCGCTATTAGTAACTATTTAGAAGATGTTCTAGTAGATTATATTTTATAAAATTACCTTCTTATAAAACTACTATAAATCCGGATTTTTAAATACTTTTACACCCTCCCTTATAGTTATTAAAGAAGCTACTATATAAATATAATTCTTAAAAGCTTTTTAAAGAATTAATTATATTTTCTTCGCTTCTACGTCCTCTTCGTTAGGCCTATCCTAATCCCGCCGGAATAGGGTATTAAATATTATAAGAAATTTACCTAAGTGATACTAAATTTCGAAATTGAACTTTAAAAGAAGTTTAGCCTAATATACTTAATACTTAAAGAGCTTCTACCTTTCTATAAAATACTTAAGGTTTTAGTAATTAATAATAATAACGAACTTCTTACAATTCCTAAACTCTACTAACTATTCTTCTAAATACCGTACGATTGCTAATATATTTTTATTATAAATAGGGTAATTATATTCTATAAGGGTAAGTTTTTAGGAATAGTATACGATTGTAATCTTTTTACTATCCCTCTCCTATATAGGATACCGCCGAATTTATAATTACTATAATTAACCTTTAGGAATATAGGTAGATTAGGATCCTATTATATAAGAATAGGGGCTTCTATAAAAAACGTTATTAACTATTAAAATACTTTATTGTATTTAATAATCTATTCGAAAGTGACCCCTTTCTTTATAAGTATAGTTAATAATCCTACTACGGAGGAAAAATCCTTAATAAATATACGGTAATAATTAGCGAAATTAAGGAAATTCCTTACTTTTTTCTATAACGTTAAAGCTTTTTAATTTATAATTAATTTAATCTTCTTAGGGTTTGCCTAAATACCTACGTTTTTAATAATAAAACCGAGGTATTTTATACTTTTAATAGTAAATTTATACTTTTTAGGGTCTAAATAATATCTGGTTATAATTAACTGCTCTATTACTTTACGGACTTTTGTTAGATAGTCTTTTTTCAACCTAAATAAGAAGATTAGTATATTATTTATATAAATTAAAGCGAAATTATAGAGGTAATTACTAAAAATACTATTAATATACTATTAAAAAGTTATTAGAACTCTTAATAACCTAAATAGTATTATAAACTATTTAAAAAAGCTATATCGCGTATAGAAAACTGTTTTCCCTTCCTCTCCTTCAATTATACGAATTTTGTAGAATTTATATATTATATTTATTTTAATAAATTAATTTATTTTAACTATAATATAGAAGGTTTCTTTTATTAAAGGTAGAGGATAACGGTCGGTTTTTATACTAGCGTTTAGAGCCTAATAATTATAATAGAACCGTAAATTACCGCTTAGCTTCCAAACGAAGAGGACGGGTACTACAATTAGGGAATTACTAGCGCGGATAAACCCCTTATCAAAGAGGTTTTTAAGCGTCTTCTTTAGTACTAAAAATGCTTCTGAAAATATATTATAGAATAGACTATAGGGGAGCGGTATCTCCCTCCCGTTCTTATTCCTTTTAATTTCTATAGTATAATTAATACTAGGGCAATATAAATTAACCTTATTTACCTCCAACTACTTCTATACATAGAGTAAATTATATATATTAATAGGAATCCTCGCTTTTGATTTCTTATTAATTATATTAATTTTAGGTTTAAGAGCCTTCTTAATATTTTGTAGGCTAATAATAAATATTATTAATTCCGCGGCTTCTCTACCACTCTTTTTCTTAATCCTATTTAATATAATTACAAAGGTCGTAATTAAATAGTAAATAGCCTTTCTAATTTCTATAATACGAGGGGAAGGTTCCTTAAATATATATCCTAAATATAAATCTAATACCCGGCTACCCCGTATTAGAATCTATACTTATATAGTACCGAGTAGGCTTTTATAGTAATTAACTACAATTTTCTTAATATTACTAGGAATTTTAATTTAAGAACTATATAAATATAAATAATTAATTTATAACTATAGATATTTACCCTAAAATAAATAATATTTTTAAGTTCTATACCTTATATTTTAGCGGTGGCGCCTCTAATTTATTTCTTAGGAATTAGGATTATTAGAATCTTTAATTTCTTTACGACTCTCTTACTAATAATAATATAGTACTAGTAACCTTTATTAATAAAAGTAAAGAATTAATTATTATTATTATTATTAATAATAGGGGTTTTAGTAATATTTATTTCTATAGGACCCGGGAAGTTCGAAGTTCCTACCTCCTTACTTAATATTCCTATCTACTCCTATACCCGGCTTCGTATAAGAACTATTCTTTTTCCAATTCCTTAGAGGACGAATTATTTATATCCTCCAATAATAGTTCGATTTAAGACTTAGCCTTAATAGTTCTTATATTAACGTTACTAAAATACTAGGCTAACTTATATATATATTTACTAACTATATACCTATTAACTTAATAATATAGGTAAAGCCCGGTTAGATACTACTTATTATATTCTTTTTAAAAAACTTATTTGATATATTTTATATTTTTATTATAATTCTTACTTTTGGTTTTAATAGCGCTTATCGTTATGTATATATTACTATTAGCGTCCTTCGAGGGTAGGTTTCTAGCCTATTTTTATTGGGGGAAAGATTTCTAGCGGCGGTTAATAACTTCCTTACTACTCTCGCTAATCTCCCGGAAGGCTCTATTCACCTCGAACTACTAAATAATATCTTTCAAATCTTTTATATATTTATTATAAATCTTAAATATCTAGACTAAGATTAATTAATTATATAGAATATTAAATATAGAGATATCTAACTAAGTAAATTAAAATTTATTTTCCTATACAAAGCCCCCTACTTTCGTTAAATTCTTTTTAAAGACTAGAAAAAAATTAGCGAAACTTTAATTCTTACGTTAGTAAATAGTTTATAGGCGAGTCAATACAAATTAATTTTTATTTTCGCTATTAAAGATTAATTTTAAATAATTAAACTAATTAATAAACCGGTAGGAGTCGTTTATATAGCCGCGGCGCTAGAAAGTTTCTACTTTAATCATTTTATTGCTAAGGATTGCATTGAATAATATTAGCTATTTTAATCTATCGCTAGAAATTACTCTAATTATTCTCCCTTCTTTATATATAAAGTATAATTGCGTAAGGAATAGGGAGAAGGTTGAGGTAGATCCGTCCTACTTTAGCTACTAGATATTTTTACGTTTAATATTAAGAATAATAATAGGGGTAACTTCTTAAATAATACCGACCGTAACGCCGGGGGTTATAATAATTATAGGAATAGTTATTTAAATAAACGTTTAGGGGTTGCCTTATACTCTTTAGATAGTAGGCGATAGACGGACTATAGTTCTAACGGCGTCGGCGAACGCTAAATTTATGAATATATTTCTAATAAAGTTATCCCTCTCTATCTATTAGGCTTTTACTAATTGCGTAATTTCTTCTTCTATATTCGATATAGCGTACTACTACCCTTACTATTATAGTAGCAATATATTTTAATCTATTAGTTCCATCAGTAAATAGAACCTAATATAACGGGGATAGTACGGTTAATATAGGTACTAGTTATATAACTTGATTAAGGTTCTATAAAGGAGGAAAAGTCTACCTAAGATGCGGATCCACCAGTACTGAGAGGTTTTTATTATGGCTGTACACTCTACGCTACTATAGCTAATAACAGTTCTAGTCTTAGAGATTAGAGTCTATAACCCGGGTGCTAGCCTTATAACAGGTAGAGTAGGTTTATAGTATAATTTATTCAATAATTGCCTTAATTATAATATAATTAATAAGAATAATAATACAGTGATTAAAGGAATAGACATAGGTATATAGCTTTTTTATAAGCTAAATTAAGTAGGTAATTTCTAATTTAGATAGTCTATAAGGGAACTCGGCCTTTATTAAGTATTTACTTAGGAATATTACCAGTAATATTATTAATAATAGGATATTGCTCCTAGGGGTTTATTCGTATCTAACCTTTAAATAAAATACTATAACCCTATTCTCTTATTTTAAAGAGATATCTAATTGAATAAGGAAGGTAAGATCCGGGTCTATATAATATAGAATACTACCGATGCCGTCTTTACTATATATAGCATCTTAAATTACTATAAAAGAAATCCGTTCTTTTTCTATTAATCTGTATTTAATTTTCATAATATATATTGTACACTTACCGAAATTTCCAATTATTCAGACGTTTGTTTTTTTACTTTCCGTTAGGAGGGTAACCTTTTATTCTTAGAGTAGTTAAATTAATTAAATATAGTAAGGGACTAAGTATTTGAAAAATTCACTACCTCAAATATAAATCTCTGGTACTTTAAACTAATTAAAGAAATTTAGCTTTTATATAACTTCAATTCTTTCCTTAGTTAATATTAAACTAATGCGTCGATACAGAAACCTAAAAACTTAACGCTAAGAAAACCGATAAACAACTTTTTAGGGGTAATAGAAATATTTTTATTATTAAATAAGGCGAAAATAGTCTTAAAGTAACGGAGGTAGTCCTTAATTGTATTAGACGCGATTATAATATTATTAATAAAAGTATAATAATATATTATATAGGGAGTAAGGAGGCGATTTATAAAGTATTGTACGTATATAGGGGAAATTTAACAATTTATAAGGGCAATTCGTAGGGTCTCGAAACCTCTATATATAATTATTATTCATTAATTTCAATAAGGGGGGTATACGCTGAATTGATAAAACAAAAATACTATATCGATTCTAATAATAAATTTCTTACCCCGTATTTATATAATAATGGACTCTTATTTCGGTAGAAGGTAATTATTTAAGATAAAGACTTTATTTAGGGAGCGGAGGTCGGTAATAGGCCTACCTTTTACTTTATTTCTTATAGTTCTTTGAATAACGAATATTAGGTTTAAAAAAGGGGTAGCTTCTAAGTAACTATTAAATTTCCCCTATACCTTTACTTTGTTTAATATTTTATTAATAATCTTTTAATTTTTACAACTTAAGGGGTATATGTAAGTATTTATCTTTTAATCTTATTAACCCTCTATTACTAATATTTTTATTATTTCGTTTTCAGAAATATTAATAGTACTTCCTTCTTCCTATATAGATAGATATTTATTAATTAGTATTTTTATTCACCGTACTAGGTTTTCATTTTCTATACAAATGTATATCCTATTATTAATTACAATTTTGGGTATATCAAGAGTACTGCGAAAATTAAGAAGGGAATATTTTTCCGGTATATAGGATAGATATTTAATTATAATAGGGGTTAAATTACTATTTATCCTTTCTAATACATTATCATTAAAATTATTAAAATTAAATTAATAGACCGCAATATAGGCTATATCCTCGTACTCTTTAATTGTACCGATTCTAGTATATTTAGGGATTATTAATATAGTATAAAGATTATTATTCTTTATCAGGACAATTTAAAGGGTTTTATTTATAATTATTACATTAAAGGCTTAGGGATACTTAATACGAAAAGAAAAGTTCCTTCCCAATAGTAAGGGCTTATATATAACTAGCATATAAGTTTATTAGTTCAATCTAATAGCAATTTCCTTTATTATAGTAACCTTATAGTAATATAAGTTAAACCTTTTATCAATAACAAAACGTATTATAAAACTATTAAGCTTTTTAAAGGTTGGTTTAGACTTTCTATAATTAATTACTCCCCCCTTAGAATTTATAAAATCATTAGCTAAAAGTATATTAGCATTTAAATTATTTATTACCTACGCAAATCTCTTTACCTTTATTAATATTAGAATTAGGTTAATATTACCTATTGAATATAGCCAAAAGGTAGCCTACTCATTAATGGTAGAAGCTTTTCCTATACTTTTAATTTTCTAGGAGGGTTTTACTATAATTGTATACTCCAATTTATTTAGTAAATCCTTGGATATTATTAAGCAGCCTATTCCTAAGTTAATATAAATTTCAATTCAGGGTTAATCTAGTTTTGGTTTAATATCAATACTTAAGTGTATATATATTAATAATTATCCTTATTCGATATTTTCTTCGTTAATTTCGGGGGCT